TTCAGAGTACGACAGCGAGGAGATCGCTGAGGGTAGCACCCTCGCCGCAGTAGTCAAGGCTAAGGCGGGTGGCCGAGGGAAGGGCCATCCAAAGAGTCAAGGGAAGGCCGCCTCCAATTAGACCAAAGTGGCTGATTGGGTTAAGGCAGGTCTTGATCAAGACGTGTGGCGGGACCGCCGAGTGCGTGGCGCTTGTATAAATTGTGGTGAATACGGACACACCCAGTACAAGTGCCAGAACGCCAAGGTCACACAGAAGATACCTCCTAAGATAAGGGCATCTTCTTCCCAGGCTTCTAGCTCGGGAAACATGTGAGGCCGGTCGAAGTTTTAGCTGCTTCTACTCATGGGGAAGTGGGCCTGATACCCTCCCCACTTCATGAGCAGGCCATAGCTAATGACTCTTCAGTCACCCCGCAGACTCATCTAGACCAAACTATGCTCTATACGTTAGATGTGTCTGAAGCCTTAGAAGATCTGGAAAGCAAGTGGTCAAACAAGGACCCTCGCGAATCTTGGGTGGCGCTAAGGAAAGGTCCTAGAGGGGAACATTTCGTGGTGGAAGTCGATGTGGTGCCTTTATAGACATAGGCTCCACGCGGAATTACATAAGTCGCGACTGTTTGGAAAGGCTGCACCTACAGGACGGGGTGCGGCACCTTAGTAGACCTGTAGCATCTACTTTGGCCAACAAGGAGCGCATGATAGTCACAGACTATATCAAAGACGTAGTGTGTACCTTCTCCTATGGAGGAGGAGAACTTCATCATAAGATTTCGTTCTTGGTTAGCGACGACTTACCATTCGACATGTTGTTAGGCATGTACTACCTTGAGGTTGCTAAGCCCCAGTTCGACTGGGATAAGAAGGTGCTAAAGCATAAGTTGCCCGAAGGCAGGACAGTCAGATTGACTAAGTTCAAAGCCAGAGATATAACACCTTGTTTATGTTTCTGAGAAGGGGGAGGCCGTTAAAACACCCCCGGAGATAGAACGCGTCGTTGCTAAGTTCCCTGATCTGCTCGAGGAGCCCACAAGAGTTGTTGATAGGGAAGTTGTCCACGCTGTAGAAATCATTCCAGGAAGTAAGACCCCAAAGGGAAGGATCTATAGGATGGCCCCTGCCGAGTTAGATGAACTTCGGAAGCAACTCAAGGAGTTGACAGAGAAGGGATGGATTCGGCCTAGTACTTCCCCTTACGGATCACCTGTGCTATTCGTACCAAAGAAGGGGAATACTTTGAGGCTGTGCATTGATTATAGGGGCCTCAATGCCATCACAGTGAAAAACACAGAGCCTCTACCCCGCATAGACGACCTATTGGATAGAGTGCAGGGATGCAAGTACTATACGAAGATAGACTTGAAATCCAGATATCATCAGATCGCAATAAGACCTGAGGACCAACACAAGACAACTTTTCAGACTCGATATGGTCTGTATGAGTTTGTAGTGATGCCCTTTAGTCTTTGCAATGCGCCGGGAACATTCCAGCACGCTATGAATTGGATCTTCCATGACCATTTAAATAAGTTTGTCGTGGTTAACCTTTACGACATTCTGATCTTTAGTAAGTCTGCCGAGGAGCATGCACAACACGTTGAGATTGTACTTTCACTCCTGCGACAGCACAAGTATAAGGTCAACCTAGAGAAGTGCGAGTTTGGTCGCACTAAGATATTATACTTGGGTCATGAAGTATCTGCGGAAGGGATTAGGCCGGAAGATGCGAAAGTGGCTAGTATTCGAGACTGGCCACGACCTCAGACTGTCACTGAGGTCAGATCTTTCTTAGGAATGTGCGGCTACTATAGGAACTTCGTAAAGAACTATTCTACAGTCGCCTCTCCTTTGACAGATCTAACTCGACTTGACACGCCGTGGGACAGGAGTGATGAGTGCGAGGGTGCTTTCAAGCGATTGAAGCATACACTCATGAATCATGAAGTTCTCATGGTTCCCGATCCTCAGAAGCCATTCATAGTAACCACTAACGCAAGTCAATACGGCATTGGCGCAGTGCTGGCTCAACAGGATGGGAAGAAGTTGAGACCGATTGAGTACATGAGCAAGAAGATGCCATCGAAGAAATTGGCTAGAGTAAGAAGATGCCATCGAAGAAATTGGAAGTCCACCTACGAAAGGGAACTCTACGCTCTCTACAAGGCACTTGTCCATTGGAGACACTTCCTTTTGGGAAGATTCTTCTATCTGAGGACTGATCATCAGACCCTCAAATGGATCAAGACTCAACCGGCTCTTTCTGATGCACTCGAGCGATGGATTGAGGTCATAGACCAATATGACTTCAAGCTTGAGTACCTGAAAGGAGAGTACAACAAGGTTGCAGACGCGCTATCCCGTAGAGCAGACTACCTAGGTGCGCTAGTTTCCGAATTTGGCGTATCTAACGAAGTAACTCGATCATTGGTGGGAGCCTATCAGGAAGACCCTGTCACGATGGACATCATCCGCAAACTTCAGGCAAAAGACAAGATCACAGAAAGTGAGTTTGTGATGGTGGATGGGCTAATCTATCTTGATAAAGGACTTAGCTGCTTTCAGAGAATGGACGAAGGGGAAAAAGAAAAAAGAATCTACGCTGACCCTGAAAGCAGTTAGATACAGAGGTAGGAGTCCATGTGAGAGTATGCCCTAAGTCAGGGCGTTACAGAGACGCGGCTATCACGGCAGGTGCATGCAAAAACGAAAAACAAAAAGAAATGCTCTGGATGTGAAATAGGCCAGGATACAGAATCTGSAGTGTGGGTGAGAGTGTGCCATYCGTGACGAAGTGTCAGTCTATCCGTGGAATGCGCCCTGCCTCACCGGCAGGGCACTAAAAAGAAAAGAAAAGAAGAAAAAMGTTGTTACGATCCTGGCCAATTTCCAAGTATACATTCATCAGAAAGTACAATGCCGTCCAATTGCAAAAAGAAATGAATRAACTTGAGAGGAGAGAGAGGGAAAGAAGAGGAAGAAGAAGTAAGAAAGAAGAAGAAGATGATGTACTCCAGCATAGACCAATGACAAGGCTCTTCTTCTTCGCCAACCGATCTCCTCCTCCTTATCTCCTCCGCTCTTATTCAAACAAGAAATAACAATAATCATGTTGAATGGCTGAACCAGAATCAATGTCCGAATCGCACTTCTACTGCAGGCACAACATGAGGTCCACCATAGCGGTGGCCACCCTTCCTCTTCCTCTTCGTATAGGCCAAGGCCATGGCGGAGCACTGACGGCTCTACCCTCCTGTCCAAAGGACAACCCACAGCAGCTATGTCGCT